TTTTTTTTTTTTTTTTTTTTTTTTTTTTTTTTACTTTGAATTACATTTATCATAAAATTAATTTAACATACGTGATAAAAATACAAGGATCTTGTATCATAAAAAGAACTTAGAATGAAATATTACATACTTCCGTGTACAGGAAATTATACATATATAATCATTCATAAAATATAACCAGTTATCTTATAAGCAGATATACATTGTTCTGGTTAGACTTCGTAATTACATTTGTACATGAAATTCAAATCCAATTCAATATTAAGAATGAACAAAAGAAAAAGAGATATTCAATAGTATTTATTTAATTAATAATTTAATAATTTAATTTATTATTCAGTTACTATTACTATTTTTATTTTTATTTATTCATTTTATTTTTAGAATAATTGTTTATCATTTTTACTATTGTTATTGTCCTGCAGATAATATTAATAATTTTATTTATGATTATATTTACGATTATAATTTATAATTATGTTAATAATTATGTTTTGTATCGATTCGAATTAAAATATCAAAATGGAATGTCTGATTGGATAACTATAATTCGTTTGATCGTTGAACATCTTTATTTTTTAATAAAATGGAAGTGATCATAAAACTTTATCTTTTGAACTTGATTGAAATACAATTTTAAAATATAATGTATTTAGCCATCGAAAGTATACAAATGAAAATGAAGATGTCGCGAATAAATACAAAACTGATGAATCGCCATGTTAAACTTTACAAATGGAAATGGATAATAAAATCTCGCGGTAGTGAATCATTTTTTGTATACGCAATATGTGTAAGAGACGTACTATAAATCATTAGGAGCAAAAGTTGAGTCATTTATTGATATGACATAGAGTCTATTTCCATGCTTAATTTGATATTAAAATTCGCCATTAAATGAATAAACAAAGTAATGTAATTCTCTCATGCATTTATGAATAATATTTAAATTACTCTGATTTAATCTACTTACTACTTATTTAATGTACTTATATTAAATAATTAATAATATTATCAATGTTAAATAATTAATTATTGTTATTAAAATAGAAATCATTGTTATCAACAAAACAAAATTTTTATATACAAAATTAATTTGTACAAAAAAATATTAAAAAATTAAATTCGTCATATTATAAGTTGTCATTCCTAGCAAAGTTTAATATTCATCTGAAAATGATATTCACAGTCTAATCTTTCTTCTAACGTCTGAAATATTACTTTTGCCGAAAGCTCTATCCTACACAAACATAAATCTTCTTTCGACGAGGCTTGCTCAACTTCCCGTTGTGCGTCATATAAACGAGAAATTCATGTCTCCCCCAACTTTCATGTTCCGCTGCTCTTTATTGACATTCTATCTCTCCCACCAGTTACACGAATATACTTCGACGGACATCGCCCCCTTTTATAATAATGTTACATCACGGAAAATCAGTAATGACTTAGTTATTTGACAAAAAATTTCTTAAATATTTGATGCATTTGCTTAAATTAATTACAATGCGATCATTATTTGGACGTAACATTAAAAATTTGTACTCTTCTAATATTTTATCTGTTTTATCCATTTTAAATACAAAACAATGAGAAAGAAAAAGCAATTTATGGTATTGAATGTACGTATACACATTTACATTTAATATATTTATATCGGAAATCAAAGTGATATAATCTTACAAATAAAGGCTATTTTAAACACTACTTAGCCCTAAATTACATTTACTGTCTCATAAATATTTCTGTCTAAAATGATTTGTATATAAAGGAAATAAACAATATATCTGTGTTATACAATAAAATAGTTATTTACGCAAGTTATAATGATAAAGGATCGTATTCGTTGG